TCGGCGCTGCTCGCGCTGTCCTCGCACTTCGCGCAGGTGCAGTTCCGCCTGCGCCAGGTGGTGCGCGGGGCACCGGCGGAGCAGCAGCGCCTCCTGCGCGAGCTTGAAGACTTTGCCTTCCGCGGTTGCCCTCATGTCCTGGGTTACGAGGGGCCCGGGGACCCCGCCGGCGACGAAGGCGACGGGCTGCCGGGGGACCGGCCACGGTTGCGGGGCGAGGACCAGGTGAGCGGCTGGGGCCAGTCTGGAGGGATATGGGAATGAGGAGCTGGGTGGGTGGCGATGCTGACGCGGACGGAGGGAGAAACCGTGCAAAGCCGACCCGACTAGGTAAGTGCGTGGGTCGGAGTCAAGGACACTGGAGACGGGTGTGTGGAGCCTGCTGAAGGGCAGGAGGACAGAGATCTGGGAGCCTGAGGGTGAGAGGTGTGCTCTGAAGATGTGGAAAGAGAGATGCAGGTGTGTGATGACGTGAGCCGCGGAGGAGCGGTGAGCGACGTGGGTAATTGCGATGACGACAGAGCAAAACGAAGCAGTGCTGCTCCTGCTTACCTTGCCTTCGCCTCGTAAAGTACCTAAATCCTGAACACTTTTGCTGACCACAAGGTACCTTGGCCATTGGGAAAAAGTTGCACGTGAAAGAAATTCGTGGAAATTGAGATTAAGTCCCTATACGTGCTTTCCCGGAATCTAGGCAAAGTCTAGTCTTTAGACTCTTTTGTCTAGGTGAGAGCTTTGATGAATCTTAGTAATTGAAAAAAAACACAATTTCTGGGCCGGCCCTGTGGCGCACTGCTACAGTGCGCCGCGCTCCCGCCAAGGGTTCGGATCTCACATACAGACCGGCCCCTCACTGGCTGAGCGAGGTGTAGGCGCAACGCCGAGGGTTGCGATCCCGTTGCCGGTCCCGGTCCGGTACGGGCGCGACACTGAGGGTTGCGATCAGTTGCTGGTCACAAAAAAAGACAAAAAGGAAAAAAAAAAAAACAAAAACACAATTTCTGATCATATGAATTTCCTGATGTTGGAATTTTTGAACTCTTCCCCCAGCCTGCTTGATAACTAGGTATTCTGAATGAGGTCCTCTGCTAACTGTGGCAAGATCGACTGAGTTTGTGTACACGAAAAAGTAATAAAACTATGTCCGCCACACACCATTTCCTTATACGCTTTGAATCTCTGGAAGTGCACAGATGTAGATAGCTTGTTGGAGGTGTAGAGACACGCTGCCTTTTCACTTTTTTATTCTTCAAGTTACAGTTCACATATGGCTTTCTTCCCACTCTAATTGGTCTTAGCCAAGATTTATCAGTAGCAGATATTGACTTGTTTATTTTAATCTAAACTGTTTCCTGTGTTTACTGTTCCACCCTCCCCCACAGCTCCTTGCACAGGGAGCAGCTGTCTCACATTGCCCAACTTAAGAACTAGGAAGGATAGAATTACTGTGCCCGGGTCCTGTTCAGGAGTGAACAGCACCAAAGGTCCAGTGTGGTGTGGCACTCTCTTTTCGTTGTTCATTTTCACTTTCCGAAACAGTATACCACTTTTTTAAAAAAAGTAGTGCTTGATCTACCTAATAAGCAGCTAAAATCTTGTGTGCATACATTGACGTGAACAGGCGGTACCAAAGTAGAGGACATCTTTGAACTGAATGATTTATTTCTTACCAGTTCCAAATTTTTTTAAACCAGCATTTTCTTTTATCTCACTTCATACTGGAAATTGTTTCTAAAATTTCCCACCTTGCTCCAGAACTCGTTGTTCTTTCCTATTAAATTTTTTGTCCACACTCCAGCAAATAGCATGCTGTAGCTACCATGGCAAGTGTCAGAGTTCAGCAGACTTAATCATGAAAACAGAATCAGGATTTATGGCTGGTTTCTTCCTTCTTTGGCTTCATAAAGTTGGGATATAATGAAAACAAAGACTATTTCCCGGTTCTTTCTCCTTGGGCTGATTAGACACCTTCCTCCAGTCAGAGTTTATTATTTGGAATTTGTCACTGTACCTACTTCCATTCAGTAACATACAAAAATTGACTGCTGAGAGCTCACCCTACGCCAGGCACTATGCTATGAATTATGGGTTCAAAGTCAAGGCCCTTGCCCTTAAGGAGTTGGTAAACTAGGGGTTACAGAATTCTAAATAAATATAATCATGTGTTGCTTTCATGTTTTTTGTGTTCTATCTAAAAAACTTTTCCCTAATCAAAGGTCAAAAAGATTTTCTTTTACATTTTTTTCCTTTGTAAGTTTTATGAATTTAGCTCTTATATGTGGGTCTAAGATTAGTTTGAGTTTTATTTTTGCATGTGGTATAAGGTAAGTTTTTTGCATAAGGATATCCAGTTCATCCAGCACCCTCTTTTGAAAAGATTGTACTTTCTCCATTGAATTACTTTGGCATCTTTATTGAAATCAATTGACATATATGTGTGGGTCTATTTCTGGATCTTCTTTTCTGGCATACTATCTTAATAACTTTAGGATAGTAATAGCTTTAGAATAAGTCAAATTCTAGGTCATTTGCATTTTCATATAGATTTTAGAATTAACTTTTTTTTTTTTTTGTCTTTTTTTTGTCTTTTTTCGTGTCCGGCAATGGATCGCTACCCTCAGTGTCGCACCCGTACCGGACCAGGACCGGCAACGGGATCGCAACCCTCGGCGTTGCCCCCGCACCTCGCTCAGCCAGTGAGCGGGAATCGGTCTGTATGTGGGATCCGAACCCTCGGCGGGAGCGTCGCCACGCTCCCAAGCGGCGCACTGTAGCAGTGCGCCACCGGGCCAGCCCAGGGGGGGTTCATTCTGAAAAGTGCATCGTTGGGCAATTTTGTCATTGTGTGAACATCATAGAGTGTACTTACACAGGCTTAGATCATCTAGGCTGTATGGTATAGTCCATGGCTCCCAGGCTACAAACCTTTCGAGCATGTTACTGTTCTGAATACTGTAGGCAATTGAAACACAATTAGTATTTGTGTACCTAAACATATCTGAATATAGAAAAGGTACAGTAGGGCTGGCCTGGTGGCGCACTCGGTAGAGTGCGGCGCTTGGGAGCGTGACGGCGCTCCCGCCGAGGGTTCAGATCCCATATAGAGACCGGTCTGCTCACTGTTCGAGCGTGGTGCGGGCGCGAAACCGAGGGTTGCGATCCCGTTGCCGGTCACGAAAAAAGACAAAAAGGAAAAAACAAGAAAAGAAAAGGTACAGTAAAAATATGGTGTTATATTCACATGGGACCACCTTTGTATATGCAGTGTGTCATTACTCAAAACGTCATTAAGCAGCACATAACAATAATGTGACATGAGCTGGAGTAGAAGTGTGTGCAAAATACAGAGGAGGAAATGATTCGTTCTACCTGCAGAAATCAGGGAAACCTTAAAGGAGAGAGGCCTTCACAAAGTGGGGGAGGGGGAGAGAATTCTAAGAAAAAACAACACTTGGAAAGGATTGGAGAGGTAGTATCCTGAGAAAAGGCTTGCATTCCTGTTGAGCAAAGCTAAATAAGGCAAGATTGCTTTATAAATACTTGAACAAAAAGTTAATTTGTTGTTTTTCATTTGTTCTCTCTCATACTTTACTTCTGGAGGGATTGGTAAGTACCATTTTAAGGTTAAATTTAATACCTTGTAGACTTCTAGTTTAAAATGCAGGTTTACCTGTACAAATGATTTGTTATTTATTTATTTATTTTTTGGGGCAGCTGGCCAAAAGGGATCTAAACCCTTGACCTTGGTGTTATAAGGTCATGCTCTAACCAACTAAACTAACCGGCCAGCCTGATTTGCTAGTTTTGCTTTTCATTTTTGACACTCAAGAAGGGCAAGGAAGAACCATTGTGCAAGAATATATTAGCAAGACTTTACCACCCTGAAGAGTTTTTCATAATTTAAATGCGGAAACTACCTGCTGTCCAACAGTGAGAAAAGGAGTTACTGGGCAGGGAAATGTGCCAGATACCGGAAAAAAAAAAAATTTGTTACCTTCCTACCTGTATTACTTGGCTTTTGAGCTTTTTTCACTGCCCCAGATACCTGCGTTTGATTCTTTGGAGTTTGCAGAAGTATCCTGTAATACATTGGAGGGACTTGGAACCTTAAGAAAACTGGTTATGGGTTATAAAGCCTTTCTTAACACCCTTATCCCCAGATTCTCTTGCAAAATTTGGCTGCACAAAGTATTCAGGAGTTGTGCTGTGGTAGTTGACTGTGGAGGATGGCATGTCTAATTTCTGGGAGGCTGACTTAGCTGAGTTGTCTCTACCTTAAATAGACCTTTGGGGGGAAAAACCCATCTTAAAAAGCTCCATTGTATCTATATCCTATTTCCAATGATGGATAGATACTTTTTTTCTAGAAAACACACATTTAATAAATTGCCTGGGTGAAATAATTATTTTTACTTTTGAGCCTATCTTATGAGTTATGCATTGTATTTGGGTTAGTAACGTGCCCTGACTTGAGAGGATTCTTAATGTGTCTTGAGTTTTCCTTTTCCTGTGAAATAGACCCAAGTATTTTCTCATCTTAGAGTGAGCAGGAAAAACACCGTCTGGAAACCCAGCGGGAGAAGCAGAAGGAACTGATACTGCAGCTCAAGACCCAGTTAGATGACCTGGAAACATTTGCGTATCAAGAGGGCAGTTACGACTCCCTGCCACAGTCCGTGGTCTTGGAAAGACAACGGGTGAGCAGATTTCAGAGGCGCCTCTACCACTGCCCAAGGTTAACTTGTCCCTTCCAGTATTCCCAGGACATCCTCTCCCAGCTCAATTCTCCCTTGGCCTTACTGAGAATCCCTTTACTGGCTCAAATCAAAGGGATTTTACTCTTACATAGAACCATTCTTTATTCACACATGGAAAACGACAGGTTCCAAAGTTTCATAATATGATTGAGCTCTTTCTTTTTGGTGGTTATTATTAATAATAGAAGTATTAATATAATAACAGTATTATTTCTTCATTTGGTGATTAAAACTTTTAGTAAAATTAAAAATTTTACTTTGGTGCATCATAAAAGGTAAACTAGTTTTTTCCTGCCACCTACCACTAGTTGATAAATATTCCAGAAATCTAGACTGACTTTAATACTGTATTTATTTAAGTAAGACCTGGGTAGACCTGTAAATCTGCTGGTAGCGATACAACAACAGCCTCTTTTACATGTTTGTCCCTGTGAGGTAGCTGTTTTTCTGGCTGGGGTTATGTTACCTGGATTTCAAATTCTTCCTGATAATGTCACTAGGATATTTTGGTTATAATGTGCACTGATGTTTTGTAGAGATTTTTCTTTAGTTGCCTAGAGTAGGGCAAGAGAGATAAGAACGATTAGAAATTAAGAAAAATTAGTGTGTTTTCTCTTGGGAGCCTTTAGAGAAATGAAGCATGAGGCTTTTTGGATCATCAGCCACTTTGAATTACTCACACTGTTGTTCTCCTGAGTGAAAACTGACTGGCCTGGTAGAAAATTTACAGTGAGTGAAAGGTGCCATTTCTATCAGAGAGAACTGAAGGTTGTTGTTACTCTAAGAGAAGTAGGGAGTCTGTGTCCTCAGCAGAGTTGCATCATTTTCTCTAACAAATTTGGAGGACTGTGTGTTTTTTATTTCCATTTATGGGTGGAAAACAATTAGTTAAGATTCTTCTTCCTAACGCTCTCTCTGAAAATTCCGAAGGGTATGCTCATTGCTTGTGGTCTTGACAGGTGATCATAGATGAGTTAATAAAGAAACTGGACATGAATCTGAATGAGGACATCAGTTCCCTGTCCACTGAAGAGCTTCGTCAACGAGTGGATTCAGCAGTGGCTCAGATTGTCAACCCAGCCCGAGTGAAAGAACAGTTAGTTGAGCAGCTGAAAACTCAGATCCGAGACCTCGAGATGTTCATCAACTTCATCCAAGGTCAGAGTGGATGGGAAGAGAAGGGATGTCATAATAATAGTTATATTTGTTTTTTTCTTTTGAATGGAAAACAAGAACCAATATAATAATTATATTTATTCTGAGTACTAATACCTAAACGTGCCAGTTCTTGATGTACTATTAAGTTTGATCGTTTAGTAAAGGAGCCAGCATAGTAGAGTGAACAGAACATGGGTTTTAGAACCAGACAGTTAAAATCCCAGCTCTGCTACTTATTGGTTTCGTGTTCTTGAGTAGGTTACTTACCTCTTTACTCTTACTCTCCTCACCCATAGAATGATGATTCATGCTTCATTTACTTAGCAAATATTTTTTGAGCAAACTATGCCAGTTATCATTTTACACAAGTAAATTAGGATTTGTAAAATTCTTGTACGTGATAGTCACTGTTAAATACTATTTTTCCTTTAAAAAATCTGCTATAAAGGGGCTAAATAAGTGTCTCCGTTTTGTAACTTCCGATTACAGATGAAGCGGGAAGCCCCTCGCAGACCAGTGATAAATACTGTGAGTGCAAAGCGAGTGGGAAGACAGGATGTGGCTCCACCAGAACAGGCAGCAGCAAACTGCCTGCAGGAAAGAGCAAAAGTAAGTACAGCTTCCAGAATAGGCAGATCTATAGAGGCAGAAAGTAGATTAGCGGTTGCCTAGGATAGGGCTTGAGGATTGGGGAGAAATGGGGAATGAGAAATGCTGTAATGGTACAGGGTTTCTTTTTAAGATGATAAAATGTTCTAAAGTTGATTGTGGTGATGGTTGCACAACTCTAAATATACCAAAAACCACTGAATTGTATATGAAGTATATCTCAATGGAGTTATTATTAACCAATAAATAAATAAAGTCCAGCTATGTCCTGGGTGGCTCTTGCCTTCATGCCAGACCCATACTGTGTGGCTCAGAGACAAGACTTTATCTCATCCGGTGACTTGTTGAATGTATCTCTGTGCCGTTATGGCCTCTCACTCATCAGTGATGAGTCATTGTCTTTTCTAAACAGCAAAGGCAGAAGACCTGAAGAAAGTCCAGGAGACAGGGCTACACCTGATGCGGCGGGCATTAGCGGTGCTCCAGATCTTTGCTGTGAGCCAGTTTGGTTGTGCCACAGGCCAGATCCCTCAAACCCTGTGGCAGAGGGGCCAGGCTGACAGAGACTACTCTCCCTTACTGAAGAGGCTGGAGGTATCAGTAGACAGAGTGAAGCAGCTAGCCTTGAGGCGACAGCCACGTGACAATGTCATCACCTCTGCCAACCTCCAGGACCTCTCCCTGGGAGGCAAGGACGAGCTGACCATGGCTGTGCGGAAGGAGCTGACAGTGGCTGTGAGGGACCTGCTGGCCCATGGACTGTATGCCTCCTCCCCAGGGATGAGCCTTGTCATGGCCCCCATTGCTTGTTTACTGCCAGCCTTCTCCTCGGCCCCTGAGGCCATGCACCCCTGGGAGCTCTTTGTAAAGTACTACCATGCTAAGAATGGCCGTGCTTATGTGGAATCCCCAGCCCGGAAGCTCTCCCAGTCCTTTGCCCTGCCTGTTATGGGAGGCACTGTTGTGACACCCAAACAGGGCCTACTGACAGCCATCCACATAGTGCTGACAGAGCATGACCCTTTTAAGCGCAGCGCAGACTCAGAGTTGAAAGCCTTGATGTGCATGGCACTGAATGAGCAGCGTCTGGTGTCCTGGGTGAACCTCATCTGCAAGTCAGGGTCACTCATTGAGCCCCACTACCAGCCCTGGAGCTATATGGCACACACAGGCTTCGAGAGTGCCCTCAACCTGCTCAGCCGTCTCAGCAGCCTCAAGTTCAGCCTACCTGTAGACCTGGCTGTGCGCCAGCTCAAGAACATCAAAGATGCCTTTTGATGAGAATGCCCTGATCCTAGACCAGTACCTTGCTCAGTAGAGATAGATGTTATTAGTCTCTAGGATAGGAGCAAGGAGTCAGAGAAAGGGATAAAGGCATTTTTCCTAGACCCTGCCTGGGTGGTCAGCCAAATGAGCGCGAAGTCTGTTTTCCTCACCAACTTAGCATCTGGGGAAGATGTGCTGGAGACCCTCTTGTTAAAAAGGTTCTGCCTTGGGCTGGCTGGTTAGCTCAGTTGGTTAGATCACAGCCTTATAAAACAAGGGCATGGGTTTGGATCCCTGTACTGGCCGGCCAAAAAAAAGGTTCTGCCCTAGTGTGTAACCACAGTGTAGATGTGGGCACATGTGTTTGGGCTTATGGGAAGAGAATCAGTCATGGCACACAATGCCCAGCTCATCATGCCATGTCCCATTTTTAGAAAACTTTGGTTACTCTAATAACCATTCTCTTTATGGTTGTGAGTGACAACGTGAGTGAGTTGTTGGTCCCTGAAGACATTCAACTTGAGGCTCCTGTTAGTCAAGTTGGGAGCGGTTTGAGAGTCCTAAGGCCAAAGTTTAAATTCCTTTTATGAATACTAATTACCCTTCTTTCTTACCCCAAGGTCAGGGGAGACTCTGTATATTCCATGGCTGCCTCTAAAACTAGGAATGGGACTATCTGAGAACAGCGTTTCTAAGGGAGTTTACCCAGAAGTTGATTTTAATATAAACTCTTTTTCTTATAGAGGTAATAACTGATATCTTCCTGACAAGGTAGTCCTCCTCTCACGGCATAGACATTGGTCTTTCCATTTATGGGAAATGAGAACCAATGTCTGGTACTATGTCCTCCAGCAAATAAACTTTCCTCTGCGCACCTACCAACAAGACTGACACAGTCTTTTTAGAAGTAAATGTATTCAGGGTGTACTTCTTGAGAGAATCCTTGCCACTCAAGTGGAGTATGTACAGGAATACATATTGGTAACCAGCAACAACTCCTCCTTGGGTTGTGACACACCAGGCACCCCTTGTCCTTGATCCTGGATGATGGAGAAGATCTGATCTTGCAATGGGTACTGGATGATGGAGAAGATCTGATCTTGCAGTGGGGATACACACTACAGCAGATCACTGTTTTACAGACTAGGGGGCTGAGTATTTCATTGTAAAACTGATTCTAGAGTGGTCCTTTTTTTCAGTATTTCAGCCTTTCTAGTTCATATTTCTCATTCAGCTTGTGGTGGATACTGTTCCAGGACTGACCAAAGATGGGCAAAATGTATCACTGCAAACACTACTAATTCAGCATTGTTTTTGTGTATTAAACTCCCAGCTGCACTTTGTTTCTGCACTGTTATGTAGTGCATTTTAACTTTAACTTTTTTCAGGAACATTTTACTTAAGATATATTATTGGTGTTTCATTAAAATTAGTCTGCCTTCCCTGTGAAACAAGATAAGTGTAAAATGTTGTGAAGAATGATACATCTGTGGTTGCTAATAAAATCAATAGTATTTTGTGTACCTTCTCTGCAAAGACCTTCCAGACCCTTGGATTTGGTTAATAAGTCTGTCTTGGCCTTATCAGCCCATCTGATCCAGATCCAGAGAACTGTCTGCTTCCTCTCTGCCTTGCACCCTTGATTAACTCAGCTTTGGTGGTGGTAGTGCTTTTTTTTTTTTTTTTCCTGAACAAATTTACTAAAAAGTGCCCTTGGCATTATCATCTCCTCTTGCCCAGGACTACAGTCCCATCCCAGCAGCACATGTCACCACACATGCCACTTTTGGAATTGGCACTTTCAAATCCGTTTGTCTGGATATTATTTAGGATGGGTGATCATTAGTATAGCCATATGGCACAGCCTTGGGATCAACCCTTTTTCTGATCTTCATAAAAACTAACGTCCATTAAGGCTTTGTGCTAGCATAATGGGAAGTATTCCTGTTTGTGTTAACCTGATTTAATTCTCACTAATTATAAGGTGACACAGTATTATCCCCACCTTACAGTTGGGGAAACTGAACTGGGGCTGGCCAGTTAGCTCAGTTGATTAGAGCATGGTGCTGATAACACCAAGGTCCGGGGTTTGATCCCTGTACTGGCCAGGTGCGAAAAACAAAACAAAAAAAACTGCAGAGAGGTTAAATATTTTGTCCAGGTTTACATGATGATGGAAGAGCTGGAGTCTGAACTCAATTCGCCTGAATCCGAAGCTTATGGTCTTTATACTCTTGTCATGTTACCTCATTATATCATACTGTTTCTAGGTCTTTTGTTCCTATCTCTCCTTTATCCACCCCCTCACTCCACCCTCACTTTGGAGAGGAGGTATTTCCATACCTGCCAGAAATTTCCACTGCCAAAAGACTTAGGCTGCAGGGTGATGGGCAGACAGCCATTGCTCTGCCAAGTTTATGAAACCTAAAGGTGTGTATCAACTGAGACAGTCCCACAAGCATCCCAGCAGTCAGATATCCACGAGGCATTGATATCTGTATTATGACTGAGAACAGAGCTCTGTGCTTGGCTTAGGGTCAGACAGGACAAGGGAGGAGGGGAGTGTCAGTCAACCCAGGTCTAAGGACATACAGGAACAGAATGAAAAAGAGCCACCGATATGTACACAGTGGAAGTTCAGGGTCTGATGTTGCCCAAGTATGATCTGCAAAGCATTGTTAAAGATTACTTTCAGATCCCCATACTGGCCGGCCACTGAGCACCTGCCTGGGCCAATCTAGATGCTCAGGAAAGAGAAAAATGCAGATAGCTGGATCCTACCCCCACAGTTTTTCATTCAGTAATTCTGGGGTGGAACCTGAGAATGTGCATTTCTAACAAGTTCCCAAGTGATGCTGATGCTGGTCTGGAGACCAGACTTTGAGAACTACATATCCAATCTAAGAAATGTTCTATAATAAAGGTAAGTACAGATCAGATTGCTGATGGAGCATAGAGAAGGGAAAGATTAATTCTGCCTGGGAAAATTCTGGAATGGTCTTGAAGGATGGATAGGATTTGAACAAGATCTTGCCTGGCTACTTGGGAAGAAAAAAAGACAAAAGGAACAGACTGAATAAAGGCCCCAGGGATCAGAAGAAGATGGGTCTTCAGAGCCCAAGGGGGTATGTGAAGGGTGGGGAAGTCATAGGATCTTATATGGCAGGAAAGGTAGGAAGGAAAGGAGTGAGAGGTCAAACTTTGGAATAGAAAGCCAACAAAGGATTTCAAGTGGAAAAGTGGTGGACTTATAGTTGTGTTTAGAGCAGTTGCTCAAAGTATCTGTAGGTTATGTGGCTCCACTCCAGACTGGAATTGGAATTTCTTGGGTTCTTTAATAAGCATCCCAAGCAATTCTGCCCCATACAAAAGTTGAAGGAGGGATTGGAGAAGAAAAAGAACCGAGGCCAGATCAATTAGGAAGGAGGTGGGAAAGGATAGAAAAAAAGGAGTAGATTTAAGAGATATGAGACAAAATTCACAGGATTTAGTAATTGTTTCGATTGCAGGGTGTAGGATAAGTCCAAGGTGATAACACACAAGGTTTCAGAATTTGGTTCCTATTTTCAAAGAGAGAAAGTGGAAGAGGCAGAATCCGATAAGGAGGCTGGGAGGAGACCGTGGAGGTGGAAATAGACAGGGTAGTGTGGTGTAGTGGGAAGAGCACTGGGTTGGGAATGGGGAGAGCTTGTTCTGTGCCACCAACTCTGTGATTGCTGTCTAGAACTGTCCTCTCATCTTTAAGTGACAGACCAGTGTAGATGATCTCAGAGGTCTCTTCCAGCTATAAAACACCATTTTCCAAAGTAAAGCAGAAAATATTTTAATTGGATATAGAAATATAACCATAATTTATAAATTATACAAATGTAATTAGGATATACTGGCCAGGTGCTGAAAAAAAAAGAATATATATATATATATATATATATATATATATGTAAAATTATGGTGACAAACCACTGGAATGGGATCCTGAGGGCTACAGGCAAAATTACATCCCATAGAGCCTCATGAAGAGAACTGAGGAAACCCTGATTCCTCCCACATCTTGCCTAAGAAGGATTCTGTAGGTTCTTCAGTGTTCAGATGAGCAAAAACTGTGAGACGGTTTCTCTTTCTCTAGAACTGGGAAGACTTCTCAGGAACCATCTGAAAACACTCTTCCAGTGAGTGATGGGAAATGACTCCATTTGAAAGCCACCTAGGGGGCCAGCCCGTGGCTCAGTCAGGAGAGTGCAGTGCTGATAACACCAAGGCCCCGGGTTCGGATCCCATATAGGGATGGCCGGTTTGCTCACTGGCTGAGCGTGGTGCTGACAACACCAAGTCAAGGGTTAAAATCCCCTTACCGGTCATCTCTTAAAAAAAAAAAACAAAGAAAGAAAGAAAGCCAGCTAGACTTGGGTTCAGACCTAAATCTGAATTCTATTTATGCAATTTCCTCATGTCTAAATGGGAGGAAAATAAGATGCAGAGTTGTGAAGATTAAGCAGGCTGTCGACTTATATGAAGTGCCTAGCATCTTGCCTGGCACAGAGTAGGTGTTTAGAGTAGTAGAGTAGGCACAGTATGGTGACAAGGTAAACAGTACGGGCTCAGGAATTGGACTGCTTATCTGAGTCCCAGCTCCACCACTACTCGCTGTGGACTTTGGGCAAATTAATCTCTCTAAACTAGTTTCTTTTTTTTAAACAAACAAGAATATAGTGCTTTACCATTTACAAGTCTTTCACACACATTCTCACTTGACCTTCATAACAACTCTGTGAAGTAGGCAACACAGATAGTCTTATTTAACAGATGAGGAAAGTGAATCTCAGAGCAGTTAACTGATGTGCCCAAGGTTCTACAGTTAGTAAATAATTTGTATTAATATCAGTCGTTGGCCTAAAAATTCAGCACCCAACCTCCCCTCATACTTGCCATACCTACTTCACAGGGATAATGAAGATAAAATGAGTTCAAGGCTAGAAAAATACTTTGAGGGAATAAAGCACTACATAATTATACCCACAAACTATAATTTTTCACAATACTCGTATATGGCTCATTCCCCTTCTCATCCCAGTGTGTGAACCCAGATTTTATTTTTTATTTTTATTGAATCATAATTGATTATACATATTTTGGTGGTTCAACGTTGACATATGTTGATCAAATCAATATTACTAGCATATATATTATTATAAATCATACTTATTCTTTATGCCCCTTGTCCAATCTCTCCCCATCCTTCTCTCGCTATCCCCTCCCACCTCTGATAACCCTAGATTTCTTCTCTTCTTCTGAAAGAGTAATGGTTACTCTGTTAATTTCTTGCCTAGATGATCTGTCCAATGCTGAGGGCTGTGTTCAGGTCCCCCAATATTATCCTAGAGCAGATGCTTAGTTTGTCACTCTGGAATGGGCTTTGTGGAGAAAGACATCTTCTTTTCTTTGGTCTCTGCTGGTGACTCTCCTTGTGTCAATGTGCTCCAGTGGCTGGTAGACCATCTGCATGGTGGTTGTGGCGTCTAGCCGCTTTCACAGCAGCTGTGGTTATTGTGGTGGCTGTGGTGGGCCACCCACATGGAGGTGATGTTTTTGGTATGCTCCTTTGCACTGGCGGTGTGCCTGGTTGTGGGAGAGGGAGTCTGGTCCCCGGCTCCATTTCTCAGGTCCCCAGGCGGTCCTGAGGTGCTGGCAGTGTGCCTGGGCCGGAACTAATTTTTTGTCCTTTGCTTACATTTAAAATGGGGGAACTTCCTGTGAGGACCAGTACTTGAGTTGTGCAGTTTAGCTAAATTGCTGCTTTGCTGCTGATTCCCTATGGAAGGCTTTTTGTGCAGCTCAGGTTTTAATGGTTGAACTTATAGGTACTTCTGGCTTTCCAGAGACCCAGTACACCTGAGTTGTGTAGAAACTCTGATCTGGACCTGAGTCCTTTCATCAAACCGCACCCCAAGCAATTCTTTATTCCTGACCAGTCTCCTCTGAGTGGTCCTATGCTGACTGGGGAGTAGATCAGCTGTCCTTGCTGTGCCCCACTGTTCCCCTGGTGGGCCCATCTCTCCCACTGCATGCTGCAAACACTTCCCATGAGACGGGCTGTGTGCCGGTCCCTTGCAATGACTTGCCAGCCTCTGAATGGCTCCCCTTTTTCAGTTGTTCTGGCTCCTTGCTCCTATGTGGGTCCACGGGAACCCTATTAGTGGTCTTGCTGTCCTGGGGGCCACCAAGGCCCTCTTCTCCCCTGCAGCCTCCAAGCAACTATATCCAAAGGGCTCAGCTTTTGCCAGCTCCTGCTCCATGTGCTCAGAAGCTCCAGCCTTAAAGTGGCTGCAGCACAAAAATGGTCAGAGCAGTTTTTTCTTTGTCTCATCGTGGCTTTTCCCACCTTCATGCACTCCGTAGGTCTCTCCTCCTCTTCCCCTGAGTTCTAGTGCCCCCACCTTGGCTGTTGTTGCTTTTTTATAGTTGTAAATTGGCTGATTTATGGGAGAGAGTAATGCTGGGGACTGTTTATTATGCCATCTTGACCAGAAGCCCCAGAATTTTATATTGCCTCTGTTCTGCGCTCAACTAAGCAACTAAGTCAGGGGAACAGTGTGATCCTGTTTAAAGTCATATAAATTACAGTCAGGGTAACTGCTATTATTAAGAAAATTGGAAAAACAACACAGAAAAGCCAGTGTGTGATTAGGACCCACTAAAGCACAGAGCAAAGCAAGGCAAGATTATCAGATAGAGCATGATTGCATAGAAGGAAAATGTGGTGTCAGAGTTCAAACTGGCACACATACAATTATCTAAGGCAACGCGGTGGCACAGAAGAGATATTTGTTCCACATTATATAAACAAGAGAGGAAGATTCATAGGAACCTGTGCAAAAGCATCTTATGTCACATGGATCCCTCCAGCTACCTACAGGGAATATAAACAACAGTGTCACTTTCCTTTTAAAGAAGTACTGTACCTGTGCTCATATCCTGGACTAAGCCAAGGAATAGCCACATGCTAAACTTCCTTGGCTAAAATACCCACCCAGTACCATCATTCCTAATCAGACTCATAAACAGAATGCCTTCTAAGGTAATGAATTAGACGTCTGTGTTTAGGTTTTTGTCGGGATTTACTTCGGATTCTCCTTCTTTAAGACTCAAAAAAAAGTCATAATGAGTTTTTATTAGTGACTCTAAGGATATGTGTTTATAACAGTTAAAGTGTGATAGGTGAATCTAACATATTAAAAGAGTTCTATAGCATCTGTTCAGAAAAGATTATATACTATACAAAATATTGAAGCCCTACAAAACCATTTTTTCAGTGCCTTTTCAAATGAGAAGAATCCTATTCAGCACGCTTCTCCTCCTCAGGTGGTTCACACTGAGCAAGCTTTGCTTCAGTTTTTTATATTCTTCTACAATAGCTTCATATTTCTGTTTCATTTCTGCCAATTCTAAGAGAAGCAAAGAGAAGCAGCTCTATTTCTGGATTTGCTAGGGTAGGAGCTCCTAAGTGATGCTTTAAAAAATCCAAAGCACGATCAGGTTTCTCTGGTTCTTCATACAAGGCTCCCAAAGCCTAGGTCAGCGTGCCCAGCACCCCCGACTTCTCCAAGTACCTCCGGGAAGTCGGCAGCTTTGTAACGGGCCATAGGGACAGCAGCAGCGGCGTATCTGGCGCCCGACACCGTGACGCTAAACTACAGTTTCTACAGTTGTGGAATGGAGATAATAACAGTACCTGTCTCCTAGTGTTGTTATGAGGATCAAATCAGATAATGTGTGTAAATAAATTAACTCGCCCTGGCACAGTGTAAACAGCTGCTGTAACCCTCCTCTTTCACCTTCCTCATGCTTATTCTATTCCGTACTGTCTGTGACATCGCCCTAAATATTGGGGCCAAATGCCCGTTTGATCTGGGTCTCTCCCTCCTTTCGCCTGACAGCGCACACCGTAGGCACCAGTAAAATGTCCTATTTTGTTCCTTGCGTCTTCCAAGGCAAAAAAAGTAAATTTCAGAGTGTGTCCTCCTCCTAGCGCCAGAGCAGAGAACTACAACAAAGGTAGTTCTAGAAGAGCAGCTGGGTCAAAACACGGCGCGCACAAGGAACCTCCGTGCTCTTCCTTTCGAACACGGGGCACAGGATTTCTTTGCTCTTGTCTACTGCTGAAACTGCTAATAAAGTTTGATTCAAATAGATGAGCGTCCAGTCCCTACTATCCCCTCATGAGCTTCTTCCGCCCGCAACACAAATTCTGAGCACCGCCCCAGAAGCGCGTGGGACTGAGGGGCGGGATCGGAAGTTAGGTCACCCCTCCCCGGGGTGAAAGGTTAGCGGAAGTGTTCCGCTTTCCTTTCCCCCGAAGACTGGGTAGGCTGCTGCCGGTGAGTCGAGGTTTGGTGGGGTTTTTCAATCCGCAGCCATCCGCGGCCGGGGGTCGAGTTGCGGAGCGGTCCCGGGCGCGTTCCGTTCCTAGGTCTCTGGCGGTTTCGAGACGGGTACTGTGCTGCGAGCGGAGTCCGCGGGCGGCCCGGGCCAAGACGGCAGTGAGCAGTCTGAAGTTCTGGGCCCGAGATTTGGGCTTGCGGGCAGGGGTCAGTCCAGCGGGTCTTTGGGTTTACGGGTATCCGAGCGGCCCCTACTTTTTGTTGTCTGCAGGAATGGGCAAGTTTATGAAACCCGGGAAAGTGGTGCTGGTCCTGGCCGGACGCTACTCCGGTCGCAAAGCCGTCATCGTGAAGGTACCAGCCTCACGGGCCTCTACGTCCTTGCATCTCGGGGACCAGGCCAGCTGCGGAGGACGGGCAGGGTTGGAATTCAAGACCTACTTTTGGGGCAGTAGCCATTGAGCATGTTGGGATAGTGGTGACTGCGTGACGGCTTTTGAAAGACGAAAATACAAAATAAAAACAAATGCTAGTTGAATTGGGCACCTAACACGTAACGCGCTCTCCACCAAAGAGACTTTAAATAATAGTAATAGCGGCCAACATTTATTGAACGCCTGCTACGTGCCTACCACTACTTCCTCCCTTACAGGTCCTTGTAGTGTCTGTCAGGGATTCCTTTCTACTGCTAAGGCATAGAGGCGTTCAGTAATTTAACCTTAGCGCAAACAGGTAGTGGATGGTTCCCCTGGGATTTTGTAAGAAGAGAAATTGCTTTTAGTCAAACGGTCACTTAGCATATTTTAGCTCTTCTCTATTGGTCTCCTATCTATGGTTTTGTAGGCTGTTAACTATTGTTGCTTTTACATCTCTTGCTTCTTTCCAGATTCTTCCTGGTGGCAATAAACACCATCCTGTTGCTCTTTGGGCATCTAGCATAGCATTGTGTGGGTTTTCTCCTTACAGTAGTGGGTCTGGGAGACCTGGGGGAGTGGGAGGGGTTGTTTTTCTGTACATGCCCCATGTCTAGCACGGGGGTTAAATAGACCCCCAGTTAATAACAAATGTAATTCTTGTTCATTTAGAACATTGATGATGGCACGTCAGACCGCCCCTACAGCCATGCTCTGGTGGCTGGAATTGACCGCTATCCTCGAAAAGTGACAGCTGCCATGGGAAAGAAGAAAATCGCCAAGAGATCGAAGATCAAATCTTTTGTGAAAGTTTATAACTACAATCACCTCATGCCCACAAGGTGAGCCTTTCAAGAATGGGAATGGAAGTGATTTTATTATTTTTTTCTCTCTGCCCTGCTGAACAAGGAGACAATCTTGCAGCCATTCCAGTGCCAGGACAGGACATCATTTTCAGTTTATAAACTGGCCATGGTTTCTAGACTTGCATCTTCAAATGTTGGGTAAAGATTGTTAGGTTTGTATTCCATCCACAGTAAATACAGGGATAGGGTCTGGTCTGCCCTCTTCCACCTTCAAAGATAATTACTATAGACTCAAAAATGGTTGTTGAATAAGTGAAAGCAGAAATTTTTCACCAAAAGTGGTTGGTGAAAGCAGACCTCTCCCAATTAATTTCACTCAGCTGCTGGGCCCTTTGGTCCTGGTCTCTTCACTGTTTTCTGCAGCATATGCACTGTCTTGGTAGAAGGGTTATAAAGAAGTACAAGAATTGAGAGAGTCCTGAACAATAATTGCCATAATTCAGCAGCTTGTGACTTAAGGTTCATTAATGGGACTGCATTTACTCTTCGTTTACCGACCTAAGTGTGGAGCTGTTTCTCTGGTGCCAGGAGGCAGTGAGATGGAGGCAGCTAGCCGCCCAGCTTTTGCGTTATAATGAGGCTGGCTCTGCATTGGCAGAACTTGAACAACACTAAGTAAAATGACTCCATGTAGAAAGCTAAGCTAGCTACCATGTGAAAGTAAAGAAGGACTTATTTGACATTCTCGGCTAGAAAAATAGAGTACTTACAGAAAATTGAGAGTGAAATGTGAAAATTTTCTATGGCTTGAATCCATGTAAATGAGTGTTAAAACTGGGGATTTTCAAAGAATCTCATCAAAACTTCAGCATAGCCTCTAACTATTGTTCTCACGGAGTCAGACCCTGACACCCCAGTGTCCCAGGAAGACCTGGGTTGTGTGTAAGTCATGGCGGTGTGTGGGCTGATCCTTCCTCTCCACTATTATCTCCAGGTACTCTGTGGATATCCCCTTAGACAAAACTGTTGTCAACAAGGACGTCTTCAGAGACCCTGCTCTTAAACGCAAGGCCCGACGGGAGGCCAAGGTCAAGTTTGAAGAGAGGTAAGTAGGCTTTGGTGGTGGATGTTGGGATGTGCTTTCACTATTCCCCATGAAAAGAATTTTGTCTTTCTGTTCCTCTTCATTGGTGTTCTTTTTTTTTTTTTTCCCCCTTCTAGGTACAAGACGGGCAAGAATAAGTGGTTCTTCCAGAAGCTTCGGTTTTAAATGGTTTCTTTTGTTTTGGTCATTAAAAAGAAAAAAACCTGTGTCTGCCTGCTGCATGTATTATCAGAGTGGGAAAAGGAGAACGTTCATAGGATAAGAGACACTGGGTGGTGGATGAGGGGCTGTGGGACAATATAAAAGTTAAATCTGGGGCCAGCCCGGTGGCGCACTGCTACAGTGCCCCGCTTGGGAGCGCGGCGGCGCTCCCGCCGAGGGGTCGGATCCCACATACAGACCGGCCGCTCACTGGCTGAGCGAGGTGTGGGCGCAACACCGAGGGTTGCGATCCCGTTGCCGGTCCCGGTCCGGTACGGGCACGACACTGAGGGTTGAGGGTTGCGATCCGTTGCCGGTCACGAAAAAAGACAAAAAGGAAAAAATTTAAAAAAAATAAAAGTTAGGGCCGGCCTGGTGGCGCACTGCTACAGTGCACCGCTTGGGAAGCGTGGCAGCGCTCCCGCCCGAGGGTTCGGATCCCACATACAGACCGGCCGCTCACTGGCTGAGCGAGGTGTGGGCGCAACACCGAGGGTTGCGATCCCGTTGCCGGTCCCGGTCCTGTACGGGCGCAACACTGAGGGTTGCGATCCGTTGCCGGTCACGAAAAAACACAAAAAGGGAAAATAAATAAATAAATAAAAGTTAAATCTGGTTTTGCGAGACTTAGCAGTACTTCTGTCCTTGGCCTGATTTCCAGTAATAATTTAGCTGCCCTCAATGGATAAGTGTGAACTACTGAACTGTTATTTATTTATTTTATTTAAAAAGATGACCAGTAAGGTGATCTTAACCCTTGACTTGGAGTTGTCAGCACCACGCTCTCCCAAGTGAGCCAACCAGCCATCCCTATATAGAGATCTGAACCCGTGGCTTTGGTGTTTCGGCACCACACTCTCCCGGGTGAGCCACGGGCCGGCCCTGAACTATTTAAAAGAGCTATACCTGACATTTTTAGGTAAGGTTATTTTTCCCTGTGCAGAATTGTTCAGCATTTCTGGCTTTCACCCATTACATACCAGGAGAACTTGAGCTACACCTCCCCTCTCCCTTGTGACGGCCAAAAGCCCCTGAGTAGGGACCAGGCACCAGTTGTCATTTCTAGTAAGTTTGCTGGTGCTGCTGGTATCCAGATCACCCTGGAGAACTGCTCTGGATGATAGGGATGGATGCCAATGGTGAAGGCCTGAGCCCAGAACAACCATGCAGTGGGGCAAGGGAAAGCTCCCCAAATGGCCTTACTGGCAGCAGGAAAGACATCTGGCCCTTATAATTTGGCACTTCACTCTCATTGTATGCTTAACTGTGGCCCTGTTTCACTAAGGAAATAGGCTCTCCAGCTGAACCAGTTCTAAGTCACTAGCTGAAACTAGGATTCAAACAGTCTGGTTTGTCAGGCCTGGTACTTGACCCCACACTTCCACCTGGGACAGAGGTACAGGGAAGGGGTTGAGAGAATGGGGTTGGTAAGTAATTTAACACTGGAAAAAACCCTGTAATAGGTGAGAGTATTAAGAAACAAAATACTATGTGCTGTGCTATATGTAATTTGATTCAAATCTATTTACTTGTAAGTATTAGGGTCTCCATTGAGACAGACTCCTGTTGAATAGCTTGCCTACTCAGGGTCACAAAAATGGAACTAAATTTAAACCCTCCTTTGAAAATTTAGCAAGTTCTTTCCATTCTGTCTGAAGGTCTAAATTCAAATACTGTTAAAATCAGGTTTAGATACATGCTTCACTCAGCATTATGATTTTGGACAAGTTCCTAAATCTGCCTCAGTTTTCTTATCTGAAAAATGGAGAAAATAGAACCAGCTTCAAGGAGTTTTGAAAAATTAATTCATGTAAAACAGTGGTGTTGAGCACACAAAACAGCTCTCAATGCTGGCTGTTACTGCAGCTTTGTGAGCTTGAGCGATGGGCTCTATCTGTCCTGGTTGCATTTCTCACTCAATAATTGTATCAATGTTTGCTTATGCCCAGCATCATTCTAGGCTCTACAGAAAACACCCATTAACAAAACAGTTCCTACCAGTGTGTCTGTGCTGGAATTGACTGAGAATGGTTGGGGCCAGCATGCAGTTTGCGTTTGCTGAGAGGTAGCTTCCCCTGAGGCCTCATTGCTGGGTGGAGTTGATTTCTAAGACCAGGAAGTCTCCTCCCAGGGGTGGGGAAGCCCCGGCTGGGGGCGTGTGGCCACCAGAGGGCAGGGTTTCCACTGAAACGAAAGTGGAAGGAAAGAGCTGTGTGCGGGAACTTCAGAAGTGTATTCCGGGCCCTGCTGGAGTTGTGGGGGAGACCAAAGCCCCTTAGAGGGTACAAGCAAGAGTTAAGTTGTAGTCAACTCTGCTGCTTTGTGCCCAGCTCTGAAGCCTCAGTTCTTGGCAAACGGACCCCAGACCCATGTCGGTGACCTGCGATGCTGTAAGTGAGGAGGGGGTGGGGATGGGGAGAAGGAGAGGAGCACTTCTCTTGGCTGGGAACCTGCGGGTATCTCAGAGCCTGGCAGCCAAGCCCCTCCCTGCCCATTTCTTAGACCTGCTGAAGAGCTGAGTAGAAATACAGGGTTGGGATTATCTCTCCCCTGTGGAGGTGGTCCTCTAACCTCTTGCTCTTAAGTCAGAATTCTCTTATAACCTGCACCACAGGAGCTTGTGAATTCCTTGTGTGAATGTGAGTTTTTCTGTAGAGAGTTTGCATGAGATACTGAAAGGGTTCTGTGACTAAAATAAGAATTGCTCTAATGAGCCACACACCCTATCCCCTGAGATCTTCCTCCCCCAAATTCTCCCCCTTCTTATATTTCCATCTCAACTTAACTTTGTGCCCTCTCCAGGGTCAGGAAGAAGTGTTCCTCTGCTGAGAACTAACCTCTCTGTCTGCTGGGGTCCACCCCTTCCTGACTCACGAATGCCCCTATTCATGCTAGACTAAGTTGTGTGAGAACTAGTGTCCTGTTTAGCCTGTTCACTGTGCCTAGCACAGTGCCTGGCACGCAGTAGGCACTCAATGAATCTTGCTCTTTTTCCAGTTTTTTCAGCCTTTCCCTCCCTGATACTACTCCATCTGTTACAAATACACAGATATCTCACTTTGAAATTTTTCACTTGCCCCTCAAATGTAGTAAGAAAGACCACAGGTTCTGGAACCAGCCTGCCTGGTTTCACATCCTGGTTTGTTCAATTGTGTGGCCCTGGGCAGATCCTTAGTCTTTCCAAAGTTTGCAGTCTAGATCCCATTTCCTCATCTATAAGATGGGAATGATATTAACACTTCCTCAGAAGAATACCTACCTGCAAAAATTAAATGATAGAGATTATGCTATAAAATTATACTTCAGGAATTAAACTAGATAATCCATAACTTAATACAGTAAAAACTTAGTCCACTCTCTAGTACTTACTGAGCACTCAATACGTATCCATTATTGTTAATGTTATTATTATTTTTTTTTCACCACTTGGATTGGACTTTATTTATTTTATTTTATATTTTTTTAATTTTATTTTGTCGATATACAATGTGGTTGATTATTGTGTCCCATTACTGAAACCTCCCTCCCGCCTCCCTCTCCCGTTAATGTTATTATTGCCAGTCTTTTCAGAAACCCAGTTCCCTGGGACAATCTTGATCCACTCCCACTTCACTCCTACCTCTCTGCTAAAACTGCTCTTTTAAAATGGCTTTATAAGGTCTGGCCAGTTAGCTCAGTTGGTTAGAGTACAGCTTTATAGCATAGAGGTCACAGGTTTGGATCCCCATGTCAGGCGCCAGAGGTCTTAAAAAAAGGCCTTCACATACCCAAAAGAAAACAAAGGAAAGAAGGTGGGTTCAAAAAATTGTGTATATCTATACAGACAGATTTTTTTGCCTGCTGGCCAGTATGGGGATCTGAACCCTCAACCTTAGGGTTACGACACCGCGGTCTAACCAACTGAGCTAACCAGCCATCCCCTGTATTTTTTTAATCACACTAAATTCATAATAGACAAGCTCTGTTAACATTTTTCTGTCTGTTTTCCGAGAATTTGTAATTCATTTTTATGGATTAATATCCTTATGAATTAAAAAATTTTAAGTAAAAAAAATATGGATCATATTTTACATACAGTCTTATATTTTGCTTTTTTTTGCTTATTGTGAGGATTTTTCCACATTGTTAAAAACCTATGAGAGTTACCATAAAGAAACCCTAAGTATTCCAACAGCAGAGCACATTATTCAGGAATTTAAAGATATATTCTCAGAACAGCATGTAAAAGCTCTTAAATGCTTCTCTCTGGTACCCTCAGTCATGGCACACCTCAAATTCAATATGTCAGAAGAACACCAAGCTGACATGTATGGAAGTGACTTACCCAATCCTGACATGCTCTCTGTGGAGCTTCATTGTTGGAGAATCAGATGGAAACACAGAGGGAAAGAAATACAGCTTCTGTGCACCATTTGTGAAGCCCTCCATCTGCCTGACATCAAGTTTTTTCCTAATGTCTATGTATTGCCGAAGGTCCTATGTATTCTTCCTGTGGTGAAGGTTGAAAATGAGCGCTATGAAAATAGACAAAAACATCTCAAAGCATACTTGAGAATACTTTAACAGACCAAAGGTCAAGTAACTTGGCTTTGCTAAACATAAATTTTTTTTTTTTTTTTTTAAAGATGACCAGTAAGGGGATCTCAACCCTTGGCTTGGTGTTGTCAGCACCACGCTCACCCAGTGAGCTAACCAGCCATCCCTATATAGGGATCCGAACCCGTGGCCTTGGTGTTGTCAGCACCGCACTCTCCTGAGTGAACCACAGGCTGGCCCCTTCAATAATATATTTTAATTGTTACATAATATTTTATCATATTTATTTAGCTATTCCTCTTTTGTTGGACATGCACATTTTTTTTCTGTTGTAAACAAAACTAAAATAATAGCCCTTGCACATAAACTTCTGACTATTTCCTTCTGAGGAGTAGGACTGTTTCTTCATTGCCAAATCCAAATGCCCACCAGGTTGCTAAATCTCAGTGGTCATTCTCACTCCTCATGG